TATTGAGCATTACAGTGTGTTGGTAGTACCTCTGACAATGATTGCGAATGTACACCTACTGTGTGTGTGCACGTGGTAACGGATTGCTGGTATTGAGAAAGACAATGGCGCATGGTTTCAGATATATATAGACGGGGAGTGTGCACATGGTTGAAGTGAATTATATATTAAGAACATTCTCCACTGGTATCTACGGTGAGACCAATCGCATCGACACGGCTTAAAACCCCTAAAAACCCTAAAATATTAGGTGCCATGGAGTAATATTTGTCGTGTATTTGTTGGTATGGAGTACATTTTACAGTACAGACTGGTGCAGACACTTGATAGGTAGATTTTCTATAAATAGAATACTCGGAAGAACGGTGCAATCCATGCGTCAATGGTGCGTTGTGGAGCTATTTGATAGGTTAAGGACAGTATGTACATACCAGAATTGTACAGACGCTTGGTAGGTATATGTTCTATATTTAGACCAGAATTGTACAGACTCTTGGTAGGAATTAGACTTAAACCAGAAGTATACATACGCTTGGTAGGTATAAGTTCTATATTTAGGACAACGACTTAAACTTCGAGACCAAAAAAAAATCAGGATTGTATATATTAGTTGCTGAGATTGTCCCATAACAACGCTCAAAGAACCCAGATTCAAACTCAATTAAATGATGATGAGCCCTTATTTGAGTATTCTTCCACTATTCCGTTTGTTTGCTTATAGGAGATTTTCTCAGCTGATGCGAAGACATTCTCATACACACACACATATACACACATGCACACATACACGTATACAAACATACAAATAAACACACACACATACATAACCCTATAAACATAACATGCACACATACACCTGTATACATAACACGCACGTGTACCAGATCGGTATCACTCTTAGTCGCACTCCTGCTAGCCTGCGCAGATGACCTCTGAGCACTCCTTCCCGTGCGCATTGACGAGCGCGTAGACACCCACCTTGAGTCTATCCCACTTGTTCTATCTATATCTCCCGCTCTAGCTGAATCTGAATTGATATCTGTACCGATAGTCATTGCGTTTGTTTCTGTACGCGTACGAGTATGCCTATCCCTGTCCGCATGTGCAGCGTCAGTTGTATCTATATGTGTATGTGTATATGTATCTGTATTTGTATCTGTCTGGGCATTAGAACAGCTGCTAGAGCCCTCCCCTTCATTGCCTAGCAAGTCCTTATTCCACTTTCCCTTCAGTCGCAGTTGAGTGCGTGCGTTGAGTCGTGTTGTATCCGCCAGAGACACCACCATCCTCTGCTTTCCACTGCCTGTATAGTACCACGACAAAGCGGGACAAAGCGGAACAGCAATATGAAATAGTGTCAATAACATGTCATAACAAAGTGTCACAAGAGTGTCAGACACCACCATCCTCTGCTTACCACTGCCTGCATAGTACCACGACAAAGCGGGACAAAGCGGGACAGCAATGTGGACTAATGTCATTAACATGTCATAACAAAGTGTCAAAGTGTCACAAGAGTGTCAGACACCACCATCCTCTGCTTACCACTGCCTGCATAGTACCACGACCAAGAGGGACAGCAATGTGGACTAGTGTAACAAAATTGTCAACAACAATACAAAGGGTGTCACAAGTGCCCCAAACCGTGTCAAAAAAGTGACATCCGCACATCAGCACCTACCATTCGCCTGTGCCTGTCCATCCGGTGGTGTGGTCGTGCCATGTGCGTCGTCCACTGTACCGTGCATACCCCTCTCTCTCCCGCTCTGTGTTTGTGTGTTCGTCTGTGTCTGTGTGTCTGTGTGTGTGTTTGTATCTGCTTGTGTGTGTGTGTATGTATCTGCATGCGAGTCCTGTATTTCCTGTGTGTGCATGCGTCTCCGCTTGCCACTTGACGTCTCCGCTTGACCTTCAACGTCGCCTGTGAGTGAAGGAATGGCTGTGCAGCTGAGAAGAAAAGCTCAGTCGTAATGATAACACAACAAAGAACCGGTCGTAGACATCCACAGAAGCTAAAAATCCTGAACCATAAACACTAAACCCCAAACCCTTAAACCCTAAAGTATAGTGAGAGATGCTATTGAAATGACTTGAAAGTTTGTCTTTACGCACACCAAAGGATAGATATCACACAGCTGTTTACGTAAACGAACACACATAGAGATCCGTACTGATACACACGCACACTAGTATAGAGGATGATTGCTCATCTGTACGTACAACGAGATAAGTCGTAATACTACCCTTGTACACGGACTTAATATACGACAACAGCAAGAATATATATATATATATATATATATATGCATACAGATACACACACATAGTGGCACTGATACACATACAGGCACACATATATGCACTTATCATAGCTGCATTTACATCGTCAAAGGCCTGGATAAAACACTTGGGCAATTTACTGGCGTAAGAGTCCATAAACTTGCCGCCCGACTGATAGTCACAGAGACACTCGCTCTGATATAAGCAGTATATATGCACATACGCACACTTCGGTGCATAGATGCATGTCACATGCATATAGATCTGATTAGGTGATACACACATGCACCTACGCACACACATGCACATACGCACACACAGTACATAGTTGCATGGATACACGTGACATGTATACAGATATGAATAGATGGGCAGCTGTGTCACGTGTACTACAACAACTACACGTACCTGAGAATGCCCGGTCAATGGCCTGGTTGACGCTCTTGGGCACTTTGACAGGTGTCAAGTGTGTGAAGGACTGAACTAGGCGGGTCTTTAAACCCGCCAACCGACAGATAACCACAAAAACACTCACCCACTGGTCTCTGTCGAGAGACTGGGCCGAGATAGCCATCACGAGGGCTTCTACGCGACTATCATGGGTCTGTAGGTAAGAGATAAAGTTGTGGTGAGTGTGAGTGTACAAAGCACGACATGTATACATACAACTGTATATATATATAGATATATATATATA